TTGGGTCTATTGGAGGCCTTTTGGAGTGGTGGTCTGGTATGAGTTTTAACAGATTTGAAAGGCGGATTTGGAAGTCTATTCATTTTACTTTCGTGTGGTCTGTGTAGAAGATCAGAAATAAGTGTTTGTTCCAAGGAGTTCATCCAGATTTCAAGGGTCTTCGGGGATTATTAAAATTAGAATTGCTTTATGGTTGGAATATAACACAGTAGGGATGTCGCTTTTTGTCAATGATGTGGTCTTCAATTTGCAGCAATTAAGGTTTTGTTCAAGATAGCTAAAATGTTGCAGAGGTCTGGGTTGATTTAAGTGGGAGTTTTGTTTGTTCGGTTGGGTGCTTTTGTTCTATTTTGTTGCTTGGTTTGGTTTTGTTGGTTTCTTACCAACATCTTGTCTTGAGCTTTCATTTGATTGGGTGTCCTTCTTGGTGTCAACCTAGTTGGGATTAGGATGGGTTGCTTAGTTATTGTTGCTCTTGTCTTCTCTTTATTGATGTTTGGCCATATGCAATGTATGTTTGTTATCATCAATAAAGTTTTTTTCTTTGCCGATCAAATAAAAAAAAAAAAGTTTATTTCTAACTTAAGATTGCCAAAAATCTTGAATCACTATTCTATGTACACATAATATAGAATATCTATTGCATATGTGACTGACAAATAAAATAATGTTTAATAAAATTCCACAGCTAATAACCCAAAAGTAAACGTTGTAGAGTAGTCATAAAATATTAGATCATCACTTAATGGAAAATCCATAATATAATGGTAATGAAAATTCATTTATAATTTTTAATTGAAATAAAGTAAATGATATATAAATTCACTTTCTAAACTTAATAATATGTAAATAAAATAATTGATGAATAATTAAAAAAAATATAAAAGAATTTATATTTTAATAAAATATCACATTATTAAATTTAAAAAATAAACTTAATTTTTAAATTTCAATAACACTAGTCTTGAAATGATCGTATTTTTAAAATAATATCAACACTATTCTCAATTCAAATGATTCCAAATCGAAAAAGGGAGGAAAAGTGGTGGTTTCGATGTTGTCATCACTGGAGAATAATTTTAAAAGGAGTTGGGTTTCGTTTTAATAAATTAAATTATTTATTTTATAAAATTATTTATTAATATTTTTTATAAAAAAATTTATATCAATTCAATAATTATAATTATTTAATTTATTTCATTTGTCACTTAAAAAGATTGATAGTCTATGTTTTAGAGCACAATTCTAGTTAATTTTTTTTTAAATATAAATACGATAGTTACGATTATCAGATTGATTTTTTTTTTTTTTTCTTTTTATACATAATATACATGAAGCACCCCACTCAAATGACGTCTTTCTAAATATATAGAATCAAGTTCATGCAAGATGACACTAATACGTGAGCCAATAAAATATATTTTTTTTTATCAGCAAACAAAGACTTTATTGATAAAAAAAGGCACAATACATGCAAAAACAAACATCAACACCCAAGATTGATGAGGAACCAATCAAAAGCACCAAAAAAAAAAAGAATAGAAAAAAAACATTACAATAATACACCAACATTAATACACCTAACAACCAGCAGAACACCCCAATTCAGATTAGCAGCAGCACACTCCAGAGCATGAGACTCCAGAGCGTGAGCCAATAAAATATAAAGGCACACTTTGTTACTTGCTTGAAACACAGTCCAACATACCAATTAAAGTAATATAATAATACGTTGATATCACTGTAATTGTCATCAAACTTAAACGAACTAATTATCTACATACAAATGTTATATCCACGTTTATTTGTCATCAAATATATATATATATATATAATGTGCTTTTCAATGACATGTGAAGGGATTAAATGTGAAATGGGTCAGGTCCAAGCCTTGGGTCAGGCCAATCCGACAAAGTCCGAATCCAAGTGGGTCAGATAAGTATATAGACAAACCAGTTAGGCCTAACTTCATGATCAACAGTCCACCTAAGTCCTCAAGCACTTGGGCCCAACCCGCAGTGGAAAGGCTAGCCCAGCTGTAGTGCTGGTCTGGGCCGAGCTGCGAAACGGAATTTGTGGGCCGAACAGATAATGGGTCAGCGCATCTCCATGAATGATCCCGAAAAAGGCCGAGCCGAGGCACTGCAGTACCGAGCTGAAGTACATGAGTACCGAGCTAGAGAAACCTCACAAGGAAACGTAGGAGCTGTGAGTGCAAGCATGTGCAGGTTGCCACCTCAGCTGGTCCCCCACACCTAGAATCACAGAGGTTGTTGAACCAAAGGAATGTGATTTGTTATCAGCATGCCTACAATGAGTATATGCAATCAATGACAACTACCAGGTGGTCCCCCACCTGGAGTAATGCTGAAAGGACACCTAGCAGCATCCACATTCCATGAAACCACCTTGAGAAGCAAGTAAGGAATACTATATATATTTCATAAACTTCACATTGAAGGTAACTGGATTGAACTGAACTAAGGAGAACTGTTCTAATCACACTTAACATACATTCCTTCTCCGATCATTGATTCCCACGCCGGAGGGGTTATCTGGCCAACCCTGACCGGGCAGCTCTAATGGTGCTTCTTGTGGCAGGAGTCCCCGTCCCTGGATAGTCCAACTGAGTGCGGAGCCCCGATCCACTTTCATCTAGTGCAGAATCCGGTACGCACAATTGGTGCGGTGAGCGTGGATCACTTTATCTCTGAGCTCTGCATTCAGTTCCGGCAATGGGGATTGAGGACATTCCGCCTTCAACACATACTCCACCGACGGAAAAGACGAAGGACAAAGGTTTGGCACTCCCAACAGTTCTGGAGGAGCAAACTAGAAACAATAATCGAACCCTCGAATCCATCGAGCATCGACTACCCTTCGCCGAAGGTTCTTCTCATCATTTCCTTCTGGAAAAGGATTATAGAGATCGAATTATAGATTCCATGGGAATGGAGATACAGGAATTGAAAGCTCAACTTAAGAAGGTGTTGGGTGATCCGACAGAAAAGAGGACGGAAGCAGAGCCCTCTCGTTTGCAACGAAGGAGCTCGTCTAGAGAACTACCAGTGAAAAAATTCCCCAGAAATGGCTCCCCAACACAAAGTGAAGCGGCGAGTAGCCACACCCGTGGGTCACGCTGGAGGAGGGCCAAGAGGCAGAAGACGGTTAGTCAACAAACTGAATACCCTCCTCAGGACCTTCGCACTTGGCTAATTGGCAATAGGCAGAATGAGCAACATCGAGATCATCTGGACCGTACTGTTCACCAGAGAGAACATCGAGCGCTGGACAGGCTCGTCTCTTCGCCATTCTCTCTGAAGATTGAGACCATGAGACCTCCAAAGAAGTTCACTCCACCAAAGTTCACTTTCGTATGATGGGAAATCGGACCCTCTGACACATATCAGCCATTTTAGACAGATGATGTCCCTATGGAGCCGAGATGAGGCACTGATGTGCAAAGTCTTCCCATCCAGCTTGGGAGAAACCGGACTCCGATGGTTCGATCGACTCCCCGCTGGATCGATTCATGGCTGGAAGCAGCTCTCCAAAGAGTTCCTAGCCAGGTTCGTCTTCAATACTAAGATCCCAAAAGAGCCAGATACGCTGTTTGGCCTCAAGAAGGAGCAAGAGGAAATGCTGTGCAATTATGCTAGAAGATACTGGAAAGAGTATAATGATCTGGAAGAAAATGTGTGCAGCAAGCAGATGGTCGTTATGTCCTTCAAACATGGTCTGCGCCCGGAAAGTAAGTTGAGACAATCACTTACCAAGCGCCCGGCCACAGCTTTGAAAGACTTGCGCGCTAGGATTGAGCAATATGCTCATCTCGAAGACGATCAGATCCCCATCGAGGTAGTGTCAGCAGAACAAACAGCTCGGCAGAGGAAGAGAACGGATCGAGGAGAACACCGAGGGATTGCAGTGAATGAGGTGGATAAGTCCATATCCCATGAAGCCGTTGTGACTGTGTTCAAAGAGCCAATCTATCGAATCCTGGAAAAGATCAAGAGAGAGCCCTTCTTTGTTTGGCTGCCGAAAATATTGGGAGATCCAGCTCGGCCCAATCAGAAGCTCAGATGCACCTACCACCAAGACAGGGGATACATGACTCATAACTGCAGGGCACTGATGCAACACTTGGAAGACCTAGTGGCAGCTGGACACCTAAGGGAATACATTGATCAAGATAAGGAAGTGGCCAAGCTGGGGAACCCACCTCCAGAAGCAAATATCGCGCATCAAGCCCGGCTGATAATAAATGTGATCCATGGGACAGCGGCTTAGGAATCTGAGGAGGCACTAAAGGAAGAGATCGTGAAGGCTGCGCAAATTCAGCGAATCATGTTAGTGGAGCCGGCATCGAAAAAGGTACGTACAGTATCTAAATCCCCCTTGTGCACTGTTTCATTTACTAGCAAAGATTTAGAAGGCATACAGCACCCACATACTGATGCATTGATTATAACTGTTTGGATTGGGAAACGATTTGATGTAAAATGAGTCCTAGTAGATCAGGGCAGTGCGGCAGACATATTGTATTATGATTTGTTCAGAAAGCTCGGCCTCTCCGAGCAGCATCTCATCCCGGCGGCAGCCCCGTTGGTCGGTTTTAATTCACAGCCGGAATGGCCGCTCGGCAGAATAGTATTGCCAGTCGTAGCGGGGACAAAAACCCTCCAAATAGAGTTCTTGGTTATTAATATACCATCCCCCTATAACGCCATACTTGGCCGTCCGTGGATTCATCGAATGGAAGCAGTCCGTTCAACCTATCACCAGCTCATCCGTTTCCCAACGGAACACGGAGTAGAGCAGATCTCAGGGGATCAAGTTGCGTCCAAACATTGTTTCATGGCAGCATTAAAGGCAAAGTAGCTCTGCAATCGGGTACAGACGGTAGAAGTCACCGGACAGCCAGTCTTGGAAGATGTGGGGGGAACTCCAGAGGAAAAGATAGTAGAGGATTTGGAAAAAGTCTTGGTAAGAGAAGATGACCTGGAAAATTACTTCCTTATCGGTACCTCGCTAGGCGCTGATGAGAAACTTCAGCTGCTAGAACTGCTGAGGGAAAATATGGAGGTATTCGCGTGGTCAGCATATGATACTCTAGGGTTGGACCCAGAATTTGCTTGCCACAAGCTCAACATCAATCCTTTAGCTCGGCCCATTGTACAGAAAAGTCAGAGATCCTCAGTTGAGCACACCGAAGCAGTAATTGCCAAAGTCGAAAAACTCCTGGCCTCAGGAGCAATCAGAGAAGTTCAGTACCCGCAATGGCTGTCTAACACAGTTGTAGTCAAGAAGAAGAACGGAAAATGGAGAGTTTGTGTCGATTTCACTTGCTTGAACAAAACCTGCCCTAAAGATAATTTTCCGCTGCCTCGCATTGATCAACTAGTAGACTCAACAGCAGGGCATGAGCGCATGACCTTTCTAGACGCTTATAGCGGTTATCATCAAATACCACTGTTCGGTCCGGATCAAGAAAAAATAGCGTTTATCACTCCGAGAGGGACCTACTGCTACAGAGTAATGCCATTCGGCCTCAAGAACGCCAGGGCGACCTACTAGCGAATGATCACTCAGATGTTCAAAGACCAACTGGGGGAAACCATAGAAGCCTATATAGATGATATGGTAGTAAAAAGCAAGCTTGCTACAAACCACCTCGCAGACTTGAGAGAAGTTTTTAGCATCCTGAAAAACCACCAGTTTCGCCTCAATGCCTCGAAATGCGCCTTCGAGGTAGGAACAGGGAAGTTCTTGGGATATATGGTCACTCACAGAGGAATTGAAGCGAATCCGGATCAAATTAGGGCAATACAGGATCTCGTAGTGCCAACAAAGTCTAAGGAACTGCAGAAACTAGCCGGAATGGCGGCCGCACTGAATCGATTTATTAGCAAATCCTCAGATCGGATGAAGCCCTTCTTCCAGCTTTTGAGGAAAAAGGCAGCATTTGAATGGAGTAGCGAATGTATCGAAGCACTGCAAAGCCTCAAAAGATACCTCAGTACACCTCCTTTACTGTCCACTCCAGAACCGGGAGAGGAGCTGTACCTCTATCTAGCAGTCTTAGATCATGCCGTGAGCGCAGTATTAATTCGAGAAGTTGACAAGGAACAGAGACCAGTATATTATGTTAGCAAGACTTTACTAGATGTCGAGACACGGTATCTGCCACTGGAAAAGTTAGCTTACGCGATGCTTATCGCCTCAAGAAAGTTGCAACATTACTTCCAGGGGCATACCATTAACGTCTGTAGACACCCCATTTTTGACCGTCCTCAAGACTTGGACATCACCGTTTGAACACCCGGTGATCATCCATGTTTGTGTTCGTTTGGAGTTCCCGGAGGTCTCGGCTACGCGCCTCGCCTCAGGATCTCCGAACTCGACTGTTTAGTGCCTGGTTTTGCACCAAACACTTTTGTTTTGCCTTGGAGGGGCAGGGAATGCCTTCCAAGGCATCCCCACACATCACCAGCCATGGCCAGAGGCCACCGGCTGGTGTTTTGTTGCCATCGGCAAAGTATATTGCCGGTCGGCATTCTTTGTTGCCGGTCGGCAGTACATTTTGTCAAAATGGAAATTTTGAGCAGCCAACTACTGTTCATCTGCTTTTGCAGATATTTTAATACAACTGGCTTGCATTTTGTTCCCCTCCATACACGTGTATGGAGGGATGGCTTCCTTGTTAGCTTCTTGAGTAAGCTTTACAAGATTTGGCTTCTCTATAAGAGGAGCCCTCCCCTCTTGGCTTTAGGGTTAGAGAAAAAAAAGGTTAGAAAAGTTGTGAGAGAAGCTCTGGTTCTAGGTTTAGGGTTTTGTATCTATCCTATATCTATATCTCTCATTCTCTTGTATTGTGTGTGTTTAGGCTTACTATTGCACACAAACACATAGTGTTACACCTTTTCTTGGTTCTTGAAGGGCCAGAGGTTTGTTATTGAAGCTTTGGAGCTATTTTGAGCTCAAGGAAGGGGCTAGTCCACCATTTGTGAAGAAGGTCAACAAGGGCAACAATCTTACCCCTTTTTACCCCATTCTTGCATACTATTTTTTCCTATCTTAGAACTATTTCTGAGCTTAGTGTATAACATAAAAAAGTTCTATTTTTGGGCCCTCTAAATAGTTTGTTTAGAGTGTTTTGTGGTTTGGAGGTGTTTGACCCCTCTTAGGCCTTGAGAGGCCCCATTTTGTGCTATTTTGAGTGAGCTCCAGGACCTTGGTGTTTGGGCCTCCTCACCACTAAAATCTTGAGGGATTTCAGTGGTAAGGATGGTGCCTTGAAGTCCCAAGAAGGAGAGGGTCACCCCCTCTCCTTGTTGTCCTTGAAAAGGGCCATTTTTGCCTCTTTAATGAGCACCTAGCTAAGCCTCATGTTGACCATGCCTTGGCTATTATTTATGCTTATTTTGCCATGAAATAGCATTGTTGTATGTTGGTTTTGGTACACCATGCTTGCTTAGCATACATGCCTTGTAATGCCATTTTGTTGCCTTAACATGCCTTAGGTCGTAAACCATTGTTCTAGCATGTTTTAGGCTTGGCTTTGTGAAGCTTTTGTGCTTATTTTGCTATGTTTGAGGTCTGTCCTTAGTTGTTTGGGTCGACTTTGGCATGTTTAGTATAGCCTCTTTGCATATTTGGTTTGTTGGCCTTAAGTGTGTGAATGTATAGCATGCATATCCTTGCTAATTTAGTGGGTTGGGACATTTGCCATGTTATTTCAGTTCCTTTAAACCATGCTTGTATGCTTGCTTGGATGCCTCTTTTGAAGTTTGAAAGCTTGTCTTGCATGCTCCAATGTTTTGGTCATTGTGCATGCTTTTGAATTTGAGCCACTTAGAATGCCATCTAGGTGTCCCTTGGGAGTTTGTTTAGGTTCGCATTAGACCTATTTTAAGTCCTCTTAGCCTTGTGAGGCTTGGTTGACTTAGTCTTGGGTTTAAGCTCTCTGGCTTGTCTTGGATTTTTGGCTTTGTTTGCATGCCTTGTTTATCTTGTTTAATTGGCTTTGCACCTTTTGTAACATGATTTTCAATAACTTACCTTGTATGCCATTAGTCCATGTTAAATGGCTCTTTCAAGTGTGCTTGAGAGTTGCCGCTTTTTGTGCTTGAGTGTTAGCGCCTTTAAACATGTGCATGTGTGTATGTTGTTTTAGTTCCTCATTGTCAGCTACAACTTTGGCACGTTTTTGGGCCCTAATTAGAGCTTGCTAAATCATCCTTGTCCATCCTTTGCGTTGCTTGCATGCTTACCTTGCATGTTTGTTTGGCATGCTTTGCATGTACATGCTTGCAATTCCCAATGTTGCATGCCTTAGCGTTGATGCCTAGGTCTGGCATTGCATCTAGCATGCATGTCCTTGTTCCTTGATCTAGGTGAAATTAGGAATTTGGGCTTTTTGGTTTGGTTGGTTTGGCATTGTATGTTGACATCAAAATGAGTGCACACTTGGTCCTTAGGGCCCACGCATCAGGAAAAATGGCCGCAATTGATGGTCTGAGATCACCCAAGATTGAGGCCATGTCACTTGTCTTTGCCTAGTCACTCACATGAAAGGGACCAATGATTGGTGGCATAATATGGCTTGAATTGCATTGCCATGAAATTCTGTCCTGCTGCTGTCAAACAGGTTTATCGCAGGAACTTCTTTGCCGATCGACTGCATAGAGTTGCCCGAACCGGAATAAATCGGTGCCCGATGGATTCATTGTGTCCGATGGACACCAAATCACAGCCGGTGATGATTCCCCTCCAGCCGTGGCACTCCTCAACATCCAGTAAGCACATCCTAAGACTTCTGGCAGTCTTCAGAGGAGTATAGCAGGGAAAAACAAGAGGCACCCTTGCGCATGCAGTGTACTTTCCGAGCAGGACCGAGTATGCATTGCATTGGGCCTCTCTTCTCGGGTAAGTTTATCTGTTTTTCCCTAGATTAGTTAATTTTGGCTTAGTAATTAGATTGGCCTGGTAATATTTAATTAGCTTGTAGGTAAATTATCTGTTAATAATTTATTTGGCCTCTCGGGCGAGGGCGAATCTGTAATAAGTGTGGGTGCGTGTGTGTGCATGTCCTTCCAATCCGCCACTTCTTCTTCCCTTTTATTTACCTGCATATGAACGGTAATTAGGGCATGTTAATTATAGCATAACCTTATGCTATGCATGCGTGCATCCATACAATTTGTCTTGCAATGCACCGGGCTCGTACATCATGCTAAACTGCATTTGTACTTCAATATTCCAAATTGAATACGTGCACAATTGATTGC